CCCATATTGGTGTCTACAAAAGAGTATCTGGCAAGTAATAATTCAGAACCTTTCTGCCTTCATTCTCAAAATGTTGCCATTCTCGCTGCTAGCCTTCTTATTATTAGCCTGTAATCCGACTAAGAGTTTTCAATGGGCAGGATGAGACGGGGGTCTACAAGAATTTATTGCAGGAGGTCTCTCAAAGAGTAGGAGCGTCGTTGCCAACATATACAACTTTTAGATCAGGCCTTGGACACCTACCTGTCTTCACCTGCACGGTAGAGTTGGCTGGCTTTACATTTACAGGCGAACCAGCAAAAAACAAGAAGCAAGCTGAAAAGAATGCAGCCATGGCAGCTTGGTCATCTCTGAAACAGTGTAAGTCATCCAAAATATTATAGTGAGTTTGTGTTAAGGAAGAGATCACTTTAGAGAGAGTATCTTTTACTGATGAGAAACACTTAATACCATTCGATAGTACTATATGCCAAATAAAATTGGAAACAATTGTCTTTGGAGAAAAGGTGATGCATTGAAAGAAAGAAATGTACATTGTTGATCCAGATTTTCTTGGAGTTGATATAAATTCTGATTGCTCATTTTCCAGTAACAGCTGCTTATAACTTTTGACAATTTTTGCTTAGTTCCTAAACCACCCCCATTCTGCTGCATGCTTTCCCCACCAGTGTCTGCTGCTCCTAATTTTAATGCCACAACCACTTTGTAAATTGGCTGATCAAGAGACTCTAAACTCATGCAAATTCGGAATATGGTAGTTACTTTTTATTTTTTGTATATCAGTGCGTAAGGGACATTTCCTAGCATAGTAGTAAAATGATTTGTCTAAAAACTAAAAGGTTTTAGGTTCAAATCTGAAGGCAACACTTTTTGCACATAATGCTAAAGGTTTGTTTTACATCTGGTCTCCCCCTCCCTGTGGCATTAGTTGCTGATAAACAAATTTGGCATTACCTTCTTTTTAGTGTCGATGCATAGTTAAATTCGCAGGTCATTGATACTTGGTTTCTGGATATGTTTTTTGTAGTGTCAAATATTTTGTACTACTAATGGCTATCTTGAAGAACTTACTTTTTAGCTTAAACAGTATATGTCTATCACAAAATATAACAGATGCATTCTTCTAGTCAATCTATCTTGCTTTGATTCTTTGAGTAACATCGTTTCTAGTCTTTTCCCTTATTGAGGAAAATTGATCACAAATACTAAAAGTATTTGCTGTTTGATATCTCTTGGTTTTTGATCTCTACTATCTCACTATTTGAATTTCTCCTTCTACTTAAAAGCAGCATATCTATTCAGTTTTATTTGCATTCAACTTGAATCCTTTGATAGATTGATTGTAAGACTTCTCTCTTAATTCACTTTACCATTATTTGCTGATGGTATAATATATCTTATTCTCTCCTTATTTAACCCATTATTTGCTTCTAATACCCTTATACTGCCATAAAATATCCAATCATATTCTTATTGGTATCATTTCTTTCAACACCTAAGCTCCCCATAATAATTTCTTTTAATCTCAAAGTAGTTTTTGCACTTTTCTTTAATTCGTTATTTTGTACCATGAGCCTCCTCACTCTTAAAACACTTAATGTGGTTGAAATTTCTAGTTCTTCTTGCCCTTAATTCAGTTCGTGTTTTAAATTTTTGTAGGAGCAGTACCATCCCATGCTGGACTTCAGCTTTATTAGATGTTGGAAAAATGTCCCCTATTCTCCAACTTCGTATTCCTTTCAAACAGTTTAATTTTATAAATACTTGCATTACCATTTGTTTGTTATACATTTACGTTGTAAAGGATGTACATGCCTGCCAGACTATTATTGATTGATAGCTAGGAAGTACGGATGCTTCATTTTGGTCAGAATATTGGTGTCAGACACGTGCGGGACACGGACACTCTCGAACACGTGTCGAACACTCTAAAATGAGTGTCCGATTTTTGTATTGTTAAATTTTTTTCAAGATAGGTGGGGACATGCGGTAGACACGCTGAGGAACATGTTTTAAGATTTCTTTTTAGTTTTTTGAGAACTTTTTAGATAAATTTATAATTAAGAGTTATTTTTGTAATTTTAAAGAGATATGAGTTAAAGTCATAATATAAAATAAGTTATAATCAATACATTGAACATATGACATGAAGGTAACATAATTTTAGATATGAATACGAACTTATATACAAATGGAATAAATTATTAAAATGAAAGTAATGTGAGAAAAAATGGGGTTAAAAAATTAGAAATCTTTGAAATTAATGAAAATTATTATTACGAAGTGAAATATTTTTGAAAATGAAAGTTGTAATAGTCATTGATTGNATGGAACTCTTTGAAATTAATGAAAATTATTATTACGAAGTGAAATATTTTTGAAAATGAAAGTTGTAATAGTCATTGATTGTTGGATCTTAGATGTTAATGTTTAATACTTGAATGTGTATTGGTATATCTTATATNTTAGAAATCTTTGAAATTAATGAAAATTATTATTACGAAGTGAAATATTTTTGAAAATGAAAGTTGTAATAGTCATTGATTGTTGGATCTTAGATGTTAATGTTTAATACTTGAATGTGTATTGGTATATCTTATATTGTACTTTTTATGCATTGATATCATGATGTGAATTTGTAAAATTAGAAAAATGATGAATTAAAATATTATGATAATATTTTTACTGTATCCCATGATTATGTGTTTGATAAATGGATTGTTTGAATCTACATATCACATACAGTTGTTTGATTGGGTTTGGTGCCTTGATTGGGATCTAAGTGAAAGATTGAGTGTTTAGTGTTTGTTTGAATATATATATGTGTGTGTGTGTGTGTGTGTGTGTGCGCACACATATATATCTATATAATAAAGTAGAACGAAATTTGCATCCAAAAGACAAAGAGAGGTCCAGATTGTTTTGAGACAAAACATAAACACATCCAACGAACAACGTAATCCCAACATAAAAGGCGGTTCAGATCATCTCNCGTTTGGTGCCTTGATTGGGATCTAAGTGAAAGATTGAGTGTTTAGTGTTTATTTGAATATATATATATATATATGTGTGTGTGTGTGTGTGTGTGCGCACATATATATCTATATAATAAAGTAGAACGAAATTTGCATCCAAAAGACAAAGAGAGGTCCAGATTGTTTTGAGACAAAACATAAACACATCCAACGAACAACGTAATCCCAACATAAAAGGCGGTTCAGATCATCTCAAAAATACTGATCCGACGATCATAATTGGACTTCACTCTAACACTCTTATCTCTCATATAACTCTCTCTCTCTTATCCCTTAGACATTTTAAACATACTATCTCATCTCTCTCTCTCTTTCTCTCTCTCTCTCTCTCTCTCTCTCTATATATATATATATATATAATAAAGTAGTTAAATTCAAAACCAATCTAATCGCGATCACCATTTCCACACAAATAAAAAGTATAAATATACAATTCATAAATAAAATCATAAAATTATTCATACTAAAAATAAATCCCTACTATATGAAAATCTGTAGTTCTCAAAAAAGAAAAAAAAACAAAGCCCAATCTAATCATCAATAAAAAAAATAAGTGACCAACAAAAAATAACAAGCATTACCAATTGCACAAAAAAAAAATTCAAAATCAATCTAATCGTAATCACCACTTTCACACAAACAAAAATTATAAATATTCAATCCATAAGTAAAACCTTTGAACTATTATTCATACCTAATCACCATTTTGCTCAGAATTACATGAAAACTTATAGTTCTCAAAAATTTAATTTTTATTGAAAGTGAACAAAACATATTGTTGATTGTCATAAATGATTAGTTAAAAGAATATCTATTACAAATTTTGTTAATGGCAAAGCATCTCATTATTTCATGTTGATTATTTTTTTTGTTTAATTTTTATAACTGAGTAGTTATCAAATATTTTATGTTTAATTTTTATAACTGTGCAGTTAGCAAATGTTTAACATTTATGCATGTTTATGAATATTGATGATTTTTTCGTGTTGATTNATGTGCAATTAGCAAATGTTTAACATTTATGCATGTTTATGAATATTGATGATTTTTTCGTGTTGATTTAGTAGTGTATGTTTTGCCAATAGTTTGTTTTTTTAATTTTTAATGTTCCTGTGGTTTAGTTGTAGATATATTGTCATTAATTGATTGTTATTAAATGTTATATGTTAAAAGTATATTGTTTGTACCTTGATTTAAGTTGGTTTTGTTTAATTTATAATTTTACGATAAAACTTTGCATAAATTTAAAAATACTTCTATTAAACACACATAAAATACATAATATCTCTAAGTTTAGTGCTTCTTTTTTCAAGGTTTGCCAGTTTACGTTTGACCCCAATAACCTCATACACGTCATCACTACAATACAAAAATCAATATTCAAATGGACAATGTCACCATTTTTGGACATGTAAGTTATTTGGTATATCGATTTTTTCATAACCTTTGGTATAACATTTCATTAAAAACTATTATATACTTATTATATAATTTTTCATCCTTTTTATTACAAATTGATTCATATATAGAATTCACCGTAAGTAGATCTTCTTATCACGCATTTTAGTATCGGTGGTTGATGTTTTTTTTTTACTTCTTATCAATCAATGAAGTTTAAATTATCTTTATAATCCATAAATAAAATCATCAATTTATTATTCATACCAAAAATAAATCACTGTATGAAAACCTATAGTTTTCAGAAAATAAAAAAAAAAATCTAAAGCCTAAGCTGATCAGCAATTAAAAAAAAAANGAATGAAAACCTATAGTTTTCAGAAAATAAAAAAAAAAAATCTAAAGCCTAAGCTGATCAGCAATTAAAAAAAAAATAGGTGGCCAATATAAAAAAAATAAGATACCAATTGCACCAATAAAAAATGTTTAAAACCAATCTAATTGCNACCAATATAAAAAAAAATAAGATACCAATTGCACCAATAAAAAATGTTTAAAACCAATCTAATTGCTATGTATTGAAATTAGTCAAATATCCTATCATTGTGTGTTGAAATTTTATAAGTAATATAGTGCCTTCAGGCATGGGTAATGACTAGTAAATAAATATTATTTAACGTATCCCAACGTGTCTATGTCCTGCTTTTTTTAAAAAAATTGTCTCCATGTCCCATATTCGTATCTGTGCTTCTTAGATTGATAAATATAGAGCCAGCATGGTGCGTCAAATTACCATCGACTCCAGTAACTTCGGTTATTCTTGTTTTTCGTGAAAAGAAACAATTCAAAGCACTCTCATAACCAAATGCCAAAAAATGCCGCATGGTTCTTTACACAGCTCTTAGCACCTAGTCATCATAATGTTGTCAAAGCAGCCCAAATAAATTGTCTGCCAAAAAGAATTTTGCTGAAGTCTTCCTATCGTCCACAAGCTTTTATGTCATCTGCTTGACCCTTGGGGTTTCATCCAGCCCCATTTTTAGTCCCCTGACCCCCTAAAGCCTGCCAACACAAACCAGGAAAAATGTCAGCACTATTGCCATGCACTGAACTGACTGCCTAAAAAAAAAAAGGAAAAAGAAAAAAAAAATGAAAACTTTTGTCCATAATGTGATTACAGCAACCCCTTTCCCCACCTTTTATCTTGTGTGTTGATTTCTGAACTTGCTGGTGTTAGCTTGGTAGAGATAGACTGTTACCTTGTATTCGAGCCTATCATTTTTCTTAAAGATTTCTACACTAACATTACAGTTTTTGCCCTTTTTTCATGTTAACTGTAAGAGCGTCCATGTATTTCTATGTGACACTAGTTTTCTCTTTTTGTCAGTGGCACTGCAATCTGAGAGTGCATCATCTGAAAAGGTGAACAATGATGAACAGGAGCATGTCACCGTAGCGCGTGCTGTACAGAAGTATCGCATAAAGGTAGTAATGTATGGTTTACCATTTCCAATTAAAATTCCGACACAGAAACCTAGACCACCAAGTACACAGACCCCTCCAGCTATGACATCAAGAATACTTCCCTTAATATGTCCAAAGTCAGCTTCTCGAAACAGACATGTTAGTACAACGCTAAAGTACAATCCAATATGCTCGAAGGCAACTCCTCAAAGTGGACCCATAACCACTGCAGTAAACGAATTGCCTATTTGCACAAAGACAGCTCCTCAAAGCCACTCTACTATTGTAATTGTCAATGACAGCCCCTCATCATCAGTGGAAAGCCCAAGGAGCCAACCCCAGAAATTCCCTGAAACCGGAGCAGCACCCTACATTCCTGTCAGGCATTACAGGGCACACCATGGGATTGCACCTCCTGTGACAATACGAAACGCAATACCTGTTTTCTCTGCTCCACCACTTCCCCAGCCTAGTCAGGCACCGCAGATGAGGAGACCTCCACCGGTGGGTGCAGCATCATCTGTCTGTGTACAGCAGGCTGTGCCAATTTTTACTGCTCCAGTTCAAGTAGAGGAGCCACCAGTGTCTAAGGCTCCTACCGCTCCTCCGCCCAGTGCTGCTGCACGGGTAGGGGAGATGGGGACTGCAGCGCAGGACAAGCTGCAGGAGGCAGTGCCAACTTTTACTGATGCACCAGTTCGAGTAGAGGAGCCACCAGTTTCTAAGGCTCCACTTGCCAGCACAGTGGCTCATAAATATGAGACGTGGAGTGCAGTCTTGGACAAGCTTCTGGATGCTGTGCCTGGTTTAGCTGCTCCAGCAGGTCGAGCAGAGGAGCCACCAGTATCTAAAGCTCTCATGGACCCATCTGCCAACACATTCGTACAGATGAAGGAGAAACAGCGTGCAGTCCAGGACAACCTGAATGAAAATGTGGACGTTGAGGATTTGAAAGAGCTAAAGATTTAATTTCACGTAGAGATCCAGGTTGGAAAATTTTCTTCATGTGGATTGCAAGGACATTTATTAGAATTTTGTATTGGCTTTCTTCCTATAGGAGTTTTATATACGCTTTGTTTGGTTTGGTTTGTTGTTAGATAAGCAACATGTCTCGTGATCATATTCTGAGGAATCTTCAATGCTTAGGTTCCTGAGCCGGTTGGCGGCATCCACCCAGTGAAATTGGGTGTCTAACTAGTCGATTGGTTTATGACATCGTGGGTTTCGTGAACCTCATATATTATATAGAATTTCAGAATGAATGACTGAGGGAGAACTATTGTTGCTTTGAGGAGACACTTTTGTGTGTGTGTGTTAAGAGCAGGGGGGGGGCACCGACCTAATCCTTTCATGCACATGCAGTTTCTTCATCTCACATACACCATGTTGTTACTGTGAGAAATGGCTGAGGGGGTGGTCCAAGAGTTTTGGCAAGCTTTGATCATGTAAACTTTTTTTCGTTAGGTGGAACCGATGCCATTGAGCCAACTAATTAGTTCTTAGGTTGTCGAGTGTTGCTATCCTTTGATTCCTCAACTGCACCTCTACTGTCATCTAGCTATTATAGTTACTTAAAACTCATTCTGATCCAAGCCGGACACATGGCAAGACTTCTTGGTCCTGGTTACTATCNAGATGCCATTGAGCCAACTAATTAGTTCTTAGGTTGTCGAGTGTTGCTGTCTTTGATTCCTCAACTGCACCTCTACTGTCATCTAGCTATTATAGTTACTTACAACTCATTCTGATCCAAGCCGGACACATGGCAAGACTTCTTGGTCCTGGTTACTATCTTAAGGTTTTAAGATCGAGTCTTTTAAGAACTCGTTAGTTTACATAATACATATAGTTTGCAGGTAATTATATTCATCGGAAGTTTTTATAGCAGTTACGAGTCCAAAGAGCATATGGTATTGATGGTTCTCGATTGTGATGCTGATTTCTTTACTAGAGCGTAAGATTTATTAGGTTTGTATCTTGCTTTGCTGTTTCAGAATCATAAGATCATGACTTGGGAATGTGATGGCCTGGACCAACTGTATCTGGAACACTATCGATGGGAAATCATGCAAGAACGCTCATTTTGAACCAATGTTTTTAAGTAAATGTAAGCAGAAACTCTTCAAANCTTGTATCTTGCTTTGCTGTTTCAGAATCATAAGATCATGACTTGGGAATGTGATGGCCTGGGCCAACTGTATCTGGAACACTATCGATGGGAAATCATGCAAGAACGCTCATTTTGAACCAATGTTTTTAAGTAAATGTAAGCAGAAACTCTTCAAAATGCACTGTATCTACAATAACAATGACACATCAAGAAAGATGATGCTGGTTCTCTTCATGATAGTAAAGGTTTGACGAATTTTATCTGCCTCAGAGACCTGCACATTTCTCTCAAAAATCATGCATTCACCTTATTGAATCTGCTCCATTTCAACCAAACTCGCGCGTTCACCTTCATCAATTTGCTTCAAAATGCACATTCGATTTACCATCAACTACAGCAGCAACACATGGAAGATAGGTTGCATGGTTTCTCACTCACCAAAACCGAAGGAAACAATGCCCTGCAATTTCTCGGGAACTCCTGTGTTGTTTATCTAACGGAAGGTTAATATTGAATACTAATCAATGCATGTTTGGTGGACTAGCATACAGTTCCAGTACAAAAATTGCCTCCACAAAGATAGTCACTGTTGTATTTGCCTACATATCAATGAAAAGGAACAGTGCCAATTCAGAAGTATTTGTCTTGAGGGTTCTGTACAACATATACATAAACCACAGCCTCAATCTGACACGCACAATGATCGGCCAGTAAAGCTACTAAATTAGCAAGAAGATGCCTTCAATGACATTGAACAGAACCGGTCCAATGGTCAAACCCAACCAGACTCTATTCATAGAAAACACATGGGGTTCAGCATTTAAGTAGAGAAAGCAGTTTCTATTGCCTGAAAGACCTTAGCAGTATCAAACCGAAAATTTCTGAAGCTCCTGCCAGGGCCTGTGTCAGAGGAATGAGCATCAGCCACAGGTTTACTAGAATGAGTCTCTGCTATCGCTGAGCTGCTCCCTGTAGAACTGTTCTTTGCCTTCCACACGCTAATTCCTTCACACAATCAAGTCTCAGTTTATTAGCGGAGCATATCAACATAATGCAAGCACAACATTTGATTCCAATGAAAAACACAGATGACTCCTCATTACACCACGAATGCAGACATACATACACAAACATCAAGCCTTGTGACCTAGTGTCCAATTAACATATGCATCCTGCTAATTCCTTCGCACAATCAGTATTAGTTTATTAGCAGAGCAAATCAACATAATGCAAGCACAACATTTCATCCCAATGAAAAATCACAGGCACTTCTCATTATGCCACAAATGCAGACATGCATACCCAAACATCAAGCCTCATGACCACATGGCCAATTAGCATAAGCATCCTGCAAGCAAACCCTAAATTTCTTTCTGGTACAGCCATGTAATCCTGACGGTGGTTTTCTCTTTTTCCCATTTCTTACCGCAATTTTCTTCGTGCTTTGTTCAACTGTAGCTAGACAAGGGAATAAATTTGAGGAAAATTACTAAGAAGTCCCTCAAATATGTTTTTCCATCCCCAAAAACTTTTGATTGTACTGAAGGGTTGAAAATTACTAAGAATTCACTATATAATCCGCAACCAGGCCATCATTCCCTTGCTCCCCCCCACACCCACACCCCTCCAAAAGATGATAATTATTTCCTCGTTGATCCAATTCAATCCACCTATAAAAGTAGTCCGCATTTGGCATCTAATTTTGATGCATATGAAGAGAAAGACCCCATGAAAAAGCATGGGCAGAGGTAATGAACAACTTATTAGTTGGTAGAATTTGATAGGACAATTTTTATGCAGACTACTACCTAATAATCAGCAAAAGATGTTGCATCATCCAGGCAACTATTGCCAGAAGCATTGCCATGGAAATCTGGAGCTACTTAAATGAGAATTTGATGGCAATTGATCACATAATGGCACTGAAAAGGCCTATTATGCTGATTACTGCCTAACAATGCATGCATGGTTCAAAGTCGCGGTATCGGTCGTCAACTCAAAGGGCACTAATACAAATCGGTTGCGGCGTCGCAGTGTAGTATCGGTTGATACGCTCAAAACGCTAGATAGAAGTTCCAAAAAAATTTGAAAAATCATAAAAAATTCTAAAAAATATAAACATCATCATCCATGCATCATATACTCACAATAAATCCAAAAACACATTAAACATAATTAAAATAAAACATAAGGGCGTTACCGAAAATATTGATCATTATCAATATTCAACTTATTGAATTTGAAATATTGATATATCTAATTATTACATTAGATTTAAAAAGTACTTATGTTTTTTAGGATTAAAAAATATTGATGTATCTAATCATTACATTAAATATTTTAATGATTTATCAAAGAATAAAGTTACTCCCAAGTAAACTTTGGCAAAAAGTAAATCCAAAAATCAATTACTCATAAATAAAATAAATTAACCACACCAAAATAAATTAAGAAAATAAAAAAACAATTGAGTCTACATTTTTCACTCGTTGGGATTTAGGGACCGACAATACAGAGTCTTTAAAAGACTTTGTTTGAGACTTGAGTCCTTCAGGCTTCAAACGCTATGTATAGAGAGAGAGAGAGAGAGAGAGAGAGAAGAATTTGAGAGTGGAGTTGAAGAATCCACCGGAGATCACTGGAAGACGGCTAGGGCTAGAGCTGTTTGGTTGGTCTTCTACAATTCTACTTCTCTATCTATCGCGACTAGTTCGCTGTGAAGAAGATCAAGAAAAAAAAATAGGAAAAGAAGAAGATGAAGCAGTAGGAGGATCTTTCTGATTTATATCCAATTCTACAGGTATGTCGTACAAATACTTACAATCTTTGTGCATTGGGGCCTTTGATTTTCGGACTTGTTGAGAGTTTTAACCTTTTACCGATGTGGGTCTTGAAGATCTTCATATTTTTCCTTTTTATTTTGGATTCTAGCTATTTGTTCGAGATTTTGAGAATTTTTCACAAGATTCGATCATACCGGACCGATTCCTATGAATCATCCAATTCATATCATGGTTCAAAGTCACGGTATCGGTCATCGATTAGGAGGGCACTGAGACACATCGGTTGCAGCGTCGCGGCGTTATATATGTAGGTTGAATGTTTNGCTTTTGATTGTACTGAAGGGTTGAAAATTACTAAGAATTCACTATATAATCCGCAACCAGGCCATCATTCCCATGCTCCCCCCCACACCCACACCCCTCCAAAAGATGATAATTATTTCCTCATTGATCCAATTCAATCCACCTATAAAAGTAGTCCGCATTTGGCATCTAATTTTGATGNGCGTCGCGGCGTTATATATGTAGGTTGAATGTTTTAAAAAAAAAAAATTTAAAATGTTATTATCATCATTCATGCATTATATTCGAAAAATACATTATTTAACATATTAAACATAATAAAAATGAATTATAAGGACGCTACCAAAAATATTTATCATCATTTAGGTTGAATGTTTTTATTTAAGGACACACTAAACTTTAAACATGTTATTAGAATTTTTTTTAACTTACTAGTACCTAATACTGAATTGGAATTTCCTCAATATTGGTGGNTATGGTTCAAAGTCGCGGTATCGGTCGTCAACTCAAAGGGCACTAATACACATCGGTTGCGGCGTCGCAGTGTAGTATCGGCTGATACGCTCAAAACGCTAGATAGAAGTTCCAAAAAAATTTGAAAAATCCTAAAAAATTCTAAAAAATATAAACATCATCATCCATGAATCATATACTCACAATAAATCCAAAAACACATTAAACATAATTAAAATAAAACATAAGGGCGTTACCGAAAATATTGATCATTATCAATATTCAACTTATTGAATTTGAAATATTGATATATCTAATTATTACATTAGATTTAAAAAGTACTTATGTTTTTTAGGATTAAAAAATATTGATGTATCTAATCATTACATTAAATATTTTAATGATTTATCAAAGAATAAAGTTACTCCCAAGTAAACTTTGGCAAAAAGTAAATCCAAAAATCAATTACTCATAAATAAAATAAATTAACCACACCAAAATAAATTAAGAAAATAAAAAAACAATTGAGTCTACATTTTTCACTCGTTGGGATTTAGGGACCGACAATACAGAGTCTTTAAAAGACTTTGTTTGAGACTTGGGTCCTTCAGGCTTCAAACGCTATGTATAGAGAGAGAGAGAGAGAGAAGAATTTGAGAGTGGAGTTGAAGAATCCACCGGCGATCACTGGAAGACGGCTAGGGCTAGAGCTGTTGGGTTGGTCTTCTACAATTCTACTTCTCTATCTATCGCGACTAGTTCGCTGTGAAGAAGATCAAGAAAAAAAAATAGGAAAAGAAGAAAAAAAAAGAAGATGAAGCGGTAGGAGGATCTTTCTGATCTATATCCAATTCTACAGGTATGTCGTACAAATACTTACAATCTTTGTGCATTGGGGCCTTTGATTTTCGGACTTGTTGAGAGTTTTAACCTTTTACCGATGTGGGTCTTGAAGATCTTCATATTTTTCCTTTTTATTTTGGATTCTAGCTATTTGTTCGAGATTTTGAGAATTTTTCACAAGATTCGATCATACCGGACCGATTCCTATGAATCATCCAATTCATATCATGGTTCAAAGTCACGGTATCGGTCATCGATTAGGAGGGCACTGAGACACATCGGTTGCAACGTCGCGGCGTTATATATGTAGGTTGAATGTTTTAAAAAAAAATTTAAAAAATGTTATTATCATCATTCATGCATTATATTCGAAAAATACATTATTTAACATATTAAACATAATAAAAATGAATTATAAGGACGCTACCAAAAATATTTATCATCATTTAGGTTGAATGTTTTTATTTAAGGACACACTAAACTTTAAACATATGTTATTAGAATTTTTTTTAACTTACTAGTACCTAATACTGAATTGGAATTTCCTCAATATTGGTGGACTATTCTATGTGAATTAGCCAAGTTGGAGCCGACTCACTGTGAGTCTCATCCATTTTCTTCTTCCTTTCTCTTTTTTTTTTTTTTTTTTTTTTTGCTGCCCATATTTTCCAAATTTGGTTGCACTATAGTGGTCTGACTCGATTTGACTCAGTCAAGTCCAACCGATTTAACTCCGAGTTGGGCCGATACGACCAAAATGTAACCGAGTCAGAACCGATTCAATTGAATCTCGTTATATTGGTGTAACGTGTATCGTTATCGGATCGACAACTGCTGAGACAGATTTGACTCAGTCGAGTTGGCTCAGACTCGGCCGATACTTTGAACCATGATTCATACTATGTTGCTCCGACTTGTGTCGATACAGTCTAACCGAGATATCGCCGAGTCAAGTGAAAATCGGGATTTTTGCATAACGTGTATCGATATCGAATCGGTAAGGGCGGTCAATACTTTGAACCATGACCGCATGATCTCCTCAACTGATTCTGCGAACAACAACTCAACTAGATACAGACATATGCCTTTGTAACACGTGACCAAGGCCAGCCTAAAGGTTTGTTTGGCTGGGATTTTCTACCCAAGACACCCATGCCATCAGATATTTGCATTGAATTTACCCATCTGTCAAGTGGCCTCCACCTGGGTTAGTTTCCCCTCATTCTAGTCCAACAAAAATGCACTAAACTCTAAACGAGTGCCAGAATTCAACCACAAAGCTTAACTTGCTAGGAAAGAAAGACTCAACTGAGTTCATCCACAAGTCTCAAATTAACCTGATAACTAAGGCACGGTGGGACAACCAAATAAGATGGATCTTAGCAATATTTTAGCACAGAATCTCCTGTCATGGGCAGAGGAGCATACCTCTCAAAGGCATATCGGGCTTTGATGCCACTGGTGGTTGGTGTGCTGAAATCCATGCATTCAGAGATCTGCATGAAGTTAATGGATCATATATAAACTGGCCAGAAACTTTATGAGGATACTATAAATGTTAGATGCCAGTAATACTAACGCCAAGAATGGAGCAACCATGTACAGCTTGAGCCCAGTAATCCCACGAGATATTACATCATCATTTGCAGGTTGAAGATCCTCAAGCCGCTGCCATGCTATTTCCTGCATACAGAAAAAACAAAAGACATAATGCCAACATCATAATTATGCTATTATTTCTCAGAACAATAGTAAGAATTGAACCGCCAACCTACTATTCCCTTTTAAATGCCTGTTTCAATATTTGGTCCCTAAAGAATTTAGACACATATATACAAGCTACTATATGTTCTTCCATTGTCAAAAGCAGTTCCAAAATTAGTCAAGGGAAGTGAAGTAAGAATAAGAACACTTAGGTTCAATAATCATAATAACTGCATCAGAAGATAAACCAAGCCATGGTAAAGCATCACAGCTTGTATGCATATGGTGATAGTATACAAGACTGCGGACTGACATCATTTGGTTTATCACTCCAACCAAATTTAGAGACTAAGGTGTCCCTTTCCAATAATTACTCTCCTAAAACAAAATTTTAATCAAAATGATTACAAGTTTAAATCATAAAAATAGAATTGACAAAATTTAAAGGGAACTTCCTGTCAGTTTAATTGTAATTTAATTAAGCATCTAGCCCTTGACTGGGGATAATGACAAAAAAAAGCCGCATCTAGCCACCAGAAATAATTGGGACAAGGTTTTGGTTGGGTAGGGTTTCCAGTTAAAGTATTCAGCTACACATGAAACAATACATCTTTCCTTCAGAAAACAAAAGGAAAGAGCACCAATGCAACTTCAGGTGTAAAAATACAGCTGTCTACCAAAAAAAAATAGAGGAAAAGAATGCCCAAATTACTTCATGTCAAAATGGGTTTGAAGAGCTCCAGTAAAAAATGGACTTGTAAACACTCCTTAGGTTTAGCAAGCCTCAATGCATAGCACAAACCTCATGGACCGTAATTTGGCCAGTACAGATTCTTTTTGTACCACTGCTGCTAGGCAAGAGGCTATCATAACCACTGCACTCTGTGTGATTTGACTTAGAATGTGTGGAAAATGGGAATGACTAATGAGTGGGCCTTAAATTAAGAAACCAGAGACGACATGAAATGGAGATAATAACTGATAAGAATTTGATATAAAGCATAAAAGGCAATACACATTTCAATCAAAAATAATTGGATGTAAGGAGTGGAATGAATTAGTCCAAAATCTTAACAGACTTTTTAACGTGGAAAATCGCATACACTGATCTCTTTTTTGGTGAGTGGGGCAAAAGCTGTATCATCTTTCACACCAGCAACTATGTAAAGTCGCACCCTCTGCTGACCAAATATCATTTCAATATACTCTTCTTTGTTAAGAAGTTTTGAAAAATCAAACCCCGTTTCCTCCAAGACCTGCACTCAATATAAAGAGAAGTTAAAATGCAACCTCAGATTCTCTATGCTATCCACACGGAGAAATATTATGTGGAAATAATCACATGTACAAAAATTACGTTCTGATTCTAAAGTGAGGATGGCCGGGTTTCTTTTGTTGTTGATACAAAGGAAAAAGGTCCCACTGGAAAAAATAGTGGAGATTTAGCAGCCACAGCTAACGAAAAAGGATTGTCATCGCAGGTTAACATGAATTTGCATGTAAGAGACTGATTTGATGAATGTACCTTCTACAAGAGTAATGTTAGCAAACTGAAACCTGTCTTAGATGATTAAATTTCCTCAGTGAATGAGGACCCACTGTGCTAGTAAAATCTAGAAGCTTAGTTTGAAAACTACAATCCCCATTAAAGTGAGTCTGGTTCGTCTCTTCCCTGCCTTTGAACAAAATTTAAATGGTCTATCATCTCCTTTTGAGAAGATGGCCAATAGCAAACCATCACATATCGTGGAATTGGGTAAGCAGTTCTCTAAATCAGATATAACAGGACAGTTGTGCCTTCTAAAAACACATCGTACTTCAGTGTTTTAAAGGGTAAAGGAAGATAGGTGGGCCTAGTTTCTTATATTAATCATNTAACAGGACAGTTGTGCCTTCTAAAAACACATCGTGGTTCAGTGTTTTAAAGGGTAAAGGAAGATAGGTGGGCCTAGTTTCTTATATTAATCATGTGCCCATCCATGAAATTCTTTGTTACCACAGCGGAAAAGTCTGCTAATGGAATAAAATGCTACTTTCTGCATTGGCTTTGTTGCACCGAAGTTATAATCTGTATGGCCTAAAGCTAAAGAAAAACAAATGTTACAAAACATGGTCATAACACTTTGTATGACCTAAAGCTGAAGAAGAATTGTAATTTTTCTTGGGTATTAAAATGTTTTAAAAAAAATGCTAACAATTACAGACATTATTGAATTTCATGAGAAAATAAGAATATTTACTTCTCTAACAGCACACTTGTGGTCTTCTTCATCTTTGTTCTTTTTCCCACGGGGAAAACTCCAACTTGTTCCCTTCCACCCTTTCACTAGTAAGCACTACAAATTGCACAAACCAATCAAGAATCAGAATTGGGTGAGGTGAATTGTAGAGCGGGAACTGACACATATGTAAGATACAAGATAAGCCTTTCATCTCAAGTACATTACAAAATTTAAATGAGTAATATAATAATACATCCAACAAGGTCAACACCTTGAAACTTCAGTCTACTACATCTCATGCTTGGTTGTAGGTCAAGATTCAGCTAATTCATTATTATTTAAGGCGTAAAGCGAACTAGTCTCTTGAAAGCCTAGGCGAAAAGCGAAGTGAGCGCTTCACTGAACCCAGGCGAACAATATGAAAAATAAGCAAATATTTTAGTTTGATACTTTGATTACTCCCATTTCAAGTTTTAACTTCACAAATACAAAATATTTAAATGCAACCAAAATTTTAAATATCTACATATTTTAAATAGACAAGATATTAAATATTGAACATTATTACATTTTAAAAATAATCAATTGACATAATCACATCATCTAAATAGAAAGCTTGCAAATATGGGTTCGACTCCCACCGTGATTGATTAATATCACCACTAAACAGAGCACTCACAAATTGACTAATCAATTTGATTAACTAAGCAAATTGATTAACTAATCAAATTGATTAGCAAGAGCATTCACTACAAAACCGCACATTCAACATCATCTAATCATAACAAGACAGATTGTCATATGATATTATCAAATGAATCAATCAATTTATTTTNCAAGCAAATTGATTAACAAGAGCATTCACTACAAAACCACACATTCAACATCATCTAATCATAACAAGACAGATTGTCATATGATATTATCAAATGAATCAATCAATTTATTTTATACATATACACATATAACATCATCCCTGCTAGAGTTTATTTGAAGTTAAGGAAGAAGGGGGAGGGGGAGGGGGAGGAGAAAATAAAAAAACTGCAATCAAGCGTTCACTTTTGTTGTCTGGCTCGCTTCTTCGTCGCCNTGAATCAATCAATTTATTTTATAAATATACACATATAACATCATCCCTGCTAGAGTTTATTTGAAGTTAAGGAAGAAGGGGGAGGGGGAGGGGGAGGAGAAAATAAAAAAACTGCAATCAAGCGTTCACTTTTGTTGTCTGGCTCGCTTCTTCGTCGCCTAGACTCATTTTTCTTTACTTTACTTAATCTTGTTTTGTTTCCCTTCTCGCCTAGGCTCGTTTTTCACAACATTGAGCTAACTAAACAAAGGATTAAGCAAATGTCAGTTGGGCAGATTGTTTAGCCAAATATCTATAATATAAAATTAGGCAACCTTCAATAAACTCATTCGATGGTCTCAAAAAATAGTCTCTTCTAACAGCCACCAACNATTTTTCACAACATTGAGCTAACTAAACAAAGGATTAAGCAAATGTCAGTTGAGCAGATTGTTTAGCCAAATATCTATAATATAAAATTAGGCAGCCTTCAATAAACTCATTCGATGGTCTCAAAAAATAGTCTCTTCTAACAGCCACCAACATTCCTCTCAAAATTATTTAAATTACACTGTGCCTTCAGGCATGAGTTACCCCTAATTAACTGATAACCAAGGGCGGAACCAGGATTCTAGTTTAGCAAGGTCAAATTATGACTAAACAATTCATCATGGTGCCCTAATACATGGGAATCTTGACACTGTGGGGATTGTTAGATGTACACAGCCAAATTATGCTCTTTCAATGTGCTAAAAAATGGCTAAGAGCAACTATAGAGTTGTTTCCAAAATTTTGAAGAAATTGTATTAGATAGAAAAGAGGTATATACCGGTCATATTATTTCACATGTTTTATTCAATCAAAAATAAAACAGTTTTTAAGGGACCAATGAGCCACTTACAAAAAGTTTGAAAAATCAAATCACTATACAAGTTTCCAAGAAATTCAAAGGGAAAATTCAACAATTGAACAAAGTAATAGTTACATAAGTGAAAGGAATCCAAAGTTCCCCCTCTCCCCAAACACACACCCCTTGTTCTAATGTGGCTCCACAACTGCTGATAATAATTATGATCCTATTTAGACATTCGAGAACAAAAAAATGCACGCATTCATATATCTCAACTTCTACACAAAATCCTAAACATATCACAATATAGAATTATTCTATCTTTTGTCCCTTATTTGCCAAACTGTAACTTACATAATACATTGCAACCATGCATTCATATGTGGGCAGTGGAGAGGGATGTTATTTCTATTAAGATAGGTGCAATTTAAAGCCTGCTTAGGAAAAGGGAGTTTCCTCACTATAACTAGAAAAAAAATTGCAAAATGAGGTGCGGAGCGACTGATGGAACCTTTTTTGATAACTTTAGACTTAAAATCAACAGGACTGGATGATTCCAGACTATCTGGCTCAGGATTCTTTTGTAGTCTTTGAACTGGTTACTATCCTACAAGCACCTTTCAAGGCATTTCACTTCACACACACATTTATCAGGAGAGTTCACCAGCTCTTACGCTCTCAATCAACCCAAGCAAGGGGGTTTCTGTTTGACAAGAATTTGTGAGGGGAGCAAAGTGGTTGGGGAAGTTCAAGGGTTTTCGCATCATTGCTGGCATAACAGAATAGTTCCATTTAAAGAAGTTGTCATGACAGATAACTTCTTGACATAACAAGATGTTTCTTCCTAGTTAAATAACCTTATTTGTCCATTACTATTAAGGTATATAAATGCATAAACAGGTTGCTCATCATGTAAGAAAGATTTTTTAACAATACGGACTGAATATCTAGTCTGCTAGCTTTCAACCAGAAGAGACCTTACCCGTTCGTAAGTTTCATCCAAAATGATGGCTCCTGTAACAGGAACTCGAACCTTGTATGAAGTGAAGTCCTTAAATATGTCGTCTATATGAGCAACATGGGGTCTTAAAACATCACAACTGTTAAACACTGAAGTACATTAAGGAAAAAATGAATCATCTACGAGAAAAATATGAATGAAAAGATATAAGTCCTAGCGAGTCACCATTGATATCGACACATCAGAGTCACAAAATCACACTCAAATATGCTATTACACAAACAATTATGCTTTGTCTTNGAAAAATGAATCATCTACGAGAAAAATATGAATGAAAAGATATAAGTACTAGCGAGTCACCATTGATATCGACACACCAGAGTCACAAAATCACACTCAAATATGCTATTACACAAACAATTATGCTTTGTCTTGTTTAAATAAAGATGCAACGAAAATAGATTCTATAAAGGATACTTAGAGAAGTAAACTCCTTCAAACTGAGTGACTTCAATGATGGATTCTTTTCAACAGAGTTGTCCTCATAGAACCAGTGTGCATATTCCACAAGAAACAAGATCCTCTCAAATGATTGTAGATCTTCTTTTGGCACATTCAGAACAAAACGACTGCATTTACAATATAAAAACTTATCGCCACAATAAAAGGGGTATTAAACAACAAAAATCAACACTAAAGACATAACATTTTAGCGAATGAATGTGAAAGAAGGAACAAGGTACATAAGATTCAGTTTTACAGATAGCATGAAGCATAAAAATGAGGTAAAAGGACACCTTAAGAAACAAACCATCATCAATGTTTATAAGACAATGGTGATAACACATATTTGGAGCACTCAAACATCACATGGGCAAAGCTAAGCAAAGCTGGGTAGAACTCTGATGTACATTTTATTTTAAGTTGTTAAACAAATAGTCCTCAGACACAAGTAGATAATCTAATGGATATTAAACAACAAAAATCAACAATAAGCACATAAGACTTTGGCGAATCAATGAGAAAGAGGAAACAAGTACACTAGATTAGTAGTAACATGAACCTTAAGAAACAAACTGTCATCGATTTTGCAAGATCTCCCAACTCTTAAACCAATTGGACTGCAGGTTCTTCTCTCCTCTTCGGCCTCCACTCTTCAGTGTTCCTTCAGCCTTCCATCTGTTGTTCTTGTTGACTTGCAGGCATCAGGTTGAATTTCTTGGTAAGGTATACGCTACTCTTCCTATTGTCTTCTTCCCCAATTGATGTTCTAGATAACAAACTCTAATCATTTGGGTTTTACTGTTTGTGCTGCTGCTAATTTGCTGGTTTGGCCTTCTCTATGTTAGGTTGTTGATTTTCTAGTTTGGTTTTTCTTCTTCTACTGTGCTTGAATTGTGACTTTTATGCTTTTGTGGAAAACAAACCCCACATACTTGGTAATCGGCTGGTGAAGTACCAATCAACTGCTGGCAATTGACTGGAAGAGTCCCAGTCACCAGCAACCTACTCGAACTGGGTCCCACTTAATTGTTTGCTACTCTAATGATGTTCTAATTAAACAAATAGTGCATACTACACTATAATAGGATTATTCAAGTCGAACCCTCAAACTTATGGATTACAATAGGATAAATTAACTAGTTCACCCAAGTATGTCATCACGAGGCCAATACAATGGTTTAGTGGAGGTTTCCTTAACTAACCTCCACCTTTATCTAGAAACTACTTCATCAAGGGTCGTGAGAAGCTTTTTACGAACCTCCAACTTGGCCTACCTAAGTCCTTCCAAAGCACTTACCTAAAAGCTGCACCATCACCAGCAACAGAGTCATTATGCTAAAAATCTTGGCTAACGTATGACCTTACAGTCCACTACCTTCCTTTTAACACAAACAGTAAAGCTCATTGTTGGTTGTAGAATGCATTGTCTCCTAAATATAGTGACACAATATCCCCGAGAGCCAGGAGTCTTCAATCTTAAGATAGTCCATCTTCTGAAACTTTGGAGCTCTAAATTCGCCAGTACTCTCTGAGGCTTGTACTTTGCTCTTTCTTCATATGACTATATACATGTTCCACCCAAAAGCTAACACACGTCATGAAATTGTCAACCTATCGTCCTAAACCTAACAAAGTGGCATTAACATTTTGATATGTAACATAAGCTCTCTTCTCAAATCTTTGCACATAATTGTGTAGCAACTAACAAGCATTTGTGGAGAATTCAACCATCACAAAGATTGTACTCTTTTTTCAGATTCCTCCTCCTCCTCCTCCTCCTCCTCCTGTTTGTTTTTATTTTTCTTTCAAATATTGAATTATGTCACAGTAAAGCATGACTAAAATTGTAAATAACCAGAAAAAGCTATTGTTTTATTTAATTCCCTTTAGACTAAGTCCATATAGTTTCCCAAAATACATTGTTGTATTGTATTTGGGAGCATAGAAATCGCGGCCTATCAAGTGCATTGAGGACCACATCAGTTCAAACTTTCATGGAATACCAATCCAAACCCTAAAGTTTAGATTCCCCATACTCAGCATTATTTGTACCATAAATTCAATTTTTTGTTATTGGAAAGAGCAATGAAAAGGGAAAGAATAGAAAAGAAAATGCTGCTTAAACAATTATTCAAAATACCTAATTTTTCAATCTACCCTCCTATTTTTCAAAAAGAAAAAAAAACTATATTTTTCACTGATAAGCTCATAACTTGAAAACGATGATGCATAGATTAATAACAAAACTCCTCACTCAATTAACAAAAAAAAACAGGATGACCCACTTCAAATTTTAATCAATTCCACATACAATTTTATCCAAACTACAAAACTATCACAACCAAAAATGTACCTGCAGAGGTCGTCAAGGAGTTCTTGAGGAGGAAGGCCATTCTTCATTGGAGCGCCAGAAGATCGAGGTAGCCCTGACATTCGCTTTCTGTTTCTACGTTGAAAATTGAAACTTTAAAAACCTCGAAAACCCAAAATAGATCTGATCCTAAGAAAGTCGTCCTTTAGTAACCCCTTGGAAGGAAAACACTAGAATTCTAGTCCAAATAAGTCAACGAAGAAGATGTTGTTGCATGTTCAGGTTATTTTTTGTGAGTGAAACCTATAAAGTAGGCCATCAATTTTAATTAAGCTCTTAAATTAGTTTGTGTCAATTTAGTCCCCTCAATTATTATATAATCTGGTTCTAGGTATCTACGACTCGGTCAGTCTTGATACGTTAACGGTACACGAAACCAAAAAACTGCGAGTTGGAATAGTATCGGCGATATATCGGTCCAACTCATAGGTATTAGCCTGACAAACTCGGACGATTTGTATCGGACTCGTTCCGGTACGATCAAATCTATGAAAAAGCCCCAAAATCTGCTACAAAGAGCAAAAATCAAAAGGAAAAGGAAAGGGTCCGAAAACCCACTCAATCAGTCAGAAAAACTGAACAAAAATCCGAAAAACAAAAGAAGGATGGTAAGGAATCAAAGACCGACTATCAGTCTGCCAAAAATTCAGAACCCATACGAAAATTAACCCCAACCTAGATGGCAGAAATCACATTAAAATTTGTTTTTTCACCCCTCTTTTGCAACTATAAAAACTAAGAAGACTAAGAATTCACGACATACCTGTGGATCGAACCGAATATATATCTTTTTCTTCTTCCTATGTTCTTCTGCCTCTGTTCTTCTTCCTCTGTTCTTCTGTTCTTCTGTTTTTCTTCTCCTTTGTTGTGATTCTACAGAGGAAGAAGCAAGGAAGCGTCCGAACTCTGAAGGAAGCGTCTGTGCCCGTGGATCTCTCTCTCTCTCTCTCTCTTCTAGCTCGTCTGAGACGCACGAAGCGTCTGAAGGAAGCAAGTTCCCAAAAAAAGCTTTACTTTTTGGTAAATAACGAGGTTATTAATGCTGTAATATATTAAAGACTTTTTGTAAAATATTAATGCTGTTTGTTTTTTTTTTTAAATATTAAAGTCTGTTTTTAAAGACTTTCTCTGTTTTTAAAGTTTGTTTTTAAAATATTAAGTCCGTTTTTTTTTTTAAGTCTTTAAAGACTATTTTTTTTTTTTGGGTAAAAAAGTCCCAACAAATAATTTTTGGTAATTGATTATGTTTTAGTATAGTTAATTATTAGTAATTACCTGTGCCTAAAGGCACTATGTAAAACAAAACAATCACAAACAAATATTGTTGCGCACGAAAACGTTGTACAACTCAAACAAAAATTCAAACAATAAAAAATATCATTGATTCAAATAATATAAAAACTATAATATGTTTCAAATACAAACTTGCTAAATAATCAAAAGAAACCAAAATTATAGAAAAAAAAATGCTGGGTTCAATCGTGCCCTTTTGAATGCTTTAAATTCTTTATGAGAAAACCAAATTAATAACTGATCCCACCTTAACTTTTAGGTGCCAAACATGGTGAGACTTTAAAATATGACACATTTTGAAAATATGATGCATAAATCCACTTTAAAAAGATGCTACTGCCATCTTAAAAATATTTTCTAGTTCAGATCACTTTTTTAATTTTTTCATAATGTTNTTGTTTAAATAAAGATGCAACGAAAATAGATTCTATAAAGGATACTTAGAGAAGTAAACTCCTTCAAACTGAGTGACTTCAATGATGGATTCTTTTCAACAGAGTTGTCCTCATAGAACCAGTGTGCATATTCCACAAGAAACAAGATCCTCTCAAATGATTGTAGATCTTCTTTTGGCACATTCAGAACAAAACGACTGCATTTACAATATAAAAACTTATCGCCACAATAAAAGGGGTATTAAACAACAAAAATCAACACTAAAGACATAACATTTTAGCGAATGAATGTGAAAGAAGGAACAAGGTACATAAGATTCAGTTTTACAGATAGCATGAAGCATAAAAATGAGGTAAAAGGACACCTTAAGAAACAAACCATCATCAATGTTTATAAGACAATGGTGATAACACATATTTGGAGCACTCAAACATCACAAGGGCAAAGCTAAGCAAAGCTGGGTAGAACTCTGATGTACATTTTATTTTAAGTTGTTAAACAAATAGTCCTCAGACACAAGTAGATAATCTAATGGATATTAAACAACAAAAATCAACAATAAGCACATAAGACTTTGGCGAATCAATGAGAAAGAGGAAACAAGTACACTAGATTAGTAGTAACATGAACCTTAAGAAACAAACTGTCATCGATTTTGCAAGATCTCCCAACTCTTAAACCAATTGGACTGCAGGTTCTTCTCTCCTCTTCGGCCTCCACTCTTCAGTGTTCCTTCAGCCTTCCATCTGTTGTTCTTGTTGACTTGCAGGCATCAGGTTGAATTTCTTGGTAAGGTATACGCTACTCTTCCTATTGTCTTCTTCCCCAATTGATGTTCTAGATAACAAACTCTAATCATTTGGGTTTTACTGTTTGTGCTGCTGCTAATTTGCTGGTTTGGCCTTCTCTATGTTAGGTTGTTGATTTTCTAGTTTGGTTTTTCTTCTTCTACTGTGCTTGAATTGTGACTTTTATGCTTTTGTGGAAAACAAACCCCACATACTTGGTAATCGGCTGGTGAAGTACCAATCAACTGCTGGCAATTGACTGGAAGAGTCCCAGTCACCAGCAACCTACTCGAACTGGGTCCCACTTAATTGTTTGCTACTCTAATGATGTTCTAATTAAACAAATAGTGCATACTACACTATAATAGGATTATTCAAGTCGAACCCTCAAACTTATGGATTACAATAGGATAAATTAACTAGTTCACCCAAGTATGTCATCACGAGGCCAATACAATGGTTTAGTGGAGGTTTCCTTAACTAACCTCCACCTTTATCTAGAAACTACTTCATCAAGGGTCGTGAGAAGCTTTTTACGAACCTCCAACTTGGCCTACCTAAGTCCTTCCAAAGCACTTACCTAAAAGCTGCACCATCACCAGCAACAGAGTCATTATGCTAAAAATCTTGGCTAACGTATAACCTTACAGTCCACTACCTTCCTTTTAACACAAACAGTAAAGCTCATTGTTGGTTGTAGAATGCATTGTCTCCTAAATATAGTGACACAATATCCCCGAGAGCCAGGAGTCTTCAATCTTAAGATAGTCCATCTTCTGAAACTTTGGAGCTCTAAATTCGCCAGTACTCTCTGAGGCTTGTACTTTGCTCTTTCTTCATATGACTATATACATGTTCCACCCAAAAGCTAACACACGTCATGAAATTGTCAACCTATCGTCCTAAACCTAACAAAGTGGCATTAACATTTTGATATGTAACATAAGCTCTCTTCTCAAATCTTTGCACATAATTGTGTAGCAACTAACAAGCATTTGTGGAGAATTCAACCATCACAAAGATTGTACTCTTTTTTCAGATTCCTCCTCCTCCTCCTCCTCCTCCTCCTGTTTGTTTTTATTTTTCTTTCAAATATTGAATTATGTCACAGTAAAGCATGACTAAAATTGTAAATAACCAGAAAAAGCTATTGTTTTATTTAATTCCCTTTAGACTAAGTCCATATAGTTTCCCAAAATACATTGTTGTATTGTATTTGGGAGCATAGAAATCGCGGCCTATCAAGTGCATTGAGGACCACATCAGTTCAAACTTTCATGGAATACCAATCCAAACCCTAAAGTTTAGATTCCCCATACTCAGCATTATTTGTACCATAAATTCAATTTTTTGTTATTGGAAAGAGCAATGAAAAGGGAAAGAATAGAAAAGAAAATGCTGCTTAAACAATTATTCAAAATACCTAATTTTTCAATCTACCCTCCTATTTTTCAAAAAGAAAAAAAAACTATATTTTTCACTGATAAGCTCATAACTTGAAAACGATGATGCATAGATTAATAACAAAACTCCTCACTCAATTAACAAAAAAAAACAGGATGACCCACTTCAAATTTTAATCAATTCCACATACAATTTTATCCAAACTACAAAACTATCACAACCAAAAATGTACCTGCAGAGGTCGTCAAGGAGTTCTTGAGGAGGAAGGCCATTCTTCATTGGAGCGCCAGAAGATCGAGGTGGCCCTGACATTCGCTTTCTGTTTCTACGTTGAAAATTGAAACTTTAAAAACCTCGAAAACCCAAAATAGATCTGATCCTAAGAAAGTCGTCCTTTAGTAACCCCTTGGAAGGAAAACACTAGAATTCTAGTCCAAATAAGTCAACGAAGAAGATGTTGTTGCATGTTCAGGTTATTTTTTGTGAGTGAAACCTATAAAGTAGGCCATCAATTTTAATTAAGCTCTTAAATTAGTTTGTGTCAATTTAGTCCCCTCAATTATTATATAATCTGGTTCTAGGTATCTACGACTCGGTCAGTCTTGATACGTTAACGGTACACGAAACCAAAAAACTGCGAGTTGGAATAGTATCGGCGATATATCGGTCCAACTCATAGGTATTAGCCTGACAAACTCGGACGATTTGTATCGGACTCGTTCCGGTACGATCAAATCTATGAAAAAGCCCCAAAATCTGCTACAAAGAGCAAAAATCAAAAGGAAAAGGAAAGGGTCCGAAAACCCACTCAATCAGTCAGAAAAACTGAACAAAAATCCGAAAAACAAAAGAAGGATGGTAAGGAATCAAAGACCGACTATCAGTCTGCCAAAAATTCAGAACCCATACGAAAATTAACCCCAACCTAGATGGCAGAAATCACATTAAAATTTGTTTTTTCACCCCTCTTTTGCAACTATAAAAACTAAGAAGACTAAGAATTCACGACATACCTGTGGATCGAACCGAATATATATCTTTTTCTTCTTCCTATGTTCTTCTGCCTCTGTTCTTCTTCCTCTGTTCTTCTGTTCTTCTGTTTTTCTTCTCCTTTGTTGTGATTCTACAGAGGAAGAAGCAAGGAAGCGTCCGAACTCTGAAGGAAGCGTCTGTGCCCGTGGATCTCTCTCTCTCTCTCTCTCTTCTAGCTCGTCTGAGACGCACGAAGCGTCTGAAGGAAGCAAGTTCCCAAAAAAAGCTTTACTTTTTGGTAAATAACGAGGTTATTAATGCTGTAATATATTAAAGACTTTTTGTAAAATATTAATGCTGTTTGTTTTTTTTTTTAAATATTAAAGTCTGTTTTTAAAGACTTTCTCTGTTTTTAAAGTTTGTTTTTAAAATATTAAGTCCGTTTTTTTTTTTAAGTCTTTAAAGACTATTTTTTTTTTTTGGGTAAAAAAGTCCCAACAAATAATTTTTGGTAATTGATTATGTTTTAGTATAGTTAATTATTAGTAATTACCTGTGCCTAAAGGCACTATGTAAAACAAAACAATCACAAACAAATATTGTTGCACACGAAAACGTTGTACAACTCAAACAAAAATTCAAACAATAAAAAATATCATTGATTCAAAAAATAATATAAAAATTATAATATGTTTCAAATATAAACTTGCTAAATAATCAAAAGAAACCAAAATTATAGAAAAAAAAAATGATGGGTTTAATCGTGCCCTTTTGAATGCTTTAAATTCTTTATGAGAAAACCAAATTAATAACCGATCCCACCTTAACTTTTAGGTGTCAAACATGGTGAGACTTTAAAATAGGACACATTTTGAAAATATGATGCATAAATCCACTTTAAAAAGATGCTATTGCCATCTTAAAAATATTTTCTAGTTCAGATCACTTTTTTAATTTTTTCATAATGTTGTTCACTACATGAAAACCATTGCAGCAACAAACCCACCAAAATAAGATTCCTTTAAGAAAATGAAGTTTGTGTTTTTTTGAACAATAATCTCTCCCCATGAAGTGCGCTGAAAACATACAGAGATAGAGGGAGAGAAAGAGAAAGAGATGAGTTCACCATGTATATTACTACTTGAAGCGTTTGATCGTCCTTTAAGATCTAACTTTTGTAAATCAAAAGTTGTTGTTCTTACAAAGATATTAGAAAAAAAACTAAGATTCGCGATAATTGATCATATATATCAAACCAATAGTAAATGTACCATGCTTATAGTAATAATTCAACGCACCAACTGAATCAAAAGTATCACCCACATTGTATTATGTTTCACCAGCCGAATTATGAGTTAATGTAGAGGTTGAGATATATAGAACCGATCTCAACGACTATCTCCTAATTCGTTTTTTTGAGAACAATGACTAACTCCTAATTCATGTGACTCCAACAAAAAGAAATAAAATCAAGAAAAAAATCCCACCAAAACTTCAACCCTAATCGCATAAATCTCACCCGAATTCCGATAAAATATAAAAAACAAAAGACAAACACATAAACAAAGAATTAAATAGTCTAAAAAACAAAAGACAAACACATAAAAAGAATTAAATAGTCAAATATTCAATTATCGATAGGTAAAACTACCTTTTTAATATCACTATTTTTAACTTGACTGTTCTTGATGGCAGCTTGGGGTAGGCCTTCTTTGGATGAACTGAAAATAACTAACAAATGTGATGCAAACTCCGAGACTTGGATGAACATTTGAAGATGATGTACATAAACCTTGGTTTTTTACCACCAACAAATTCTCTCAAATTCAAAACAATTTATACGATGTAAGCCAACATTGTTTGTGAATAAAGTAATAAAAATAAAACACTGATTTTCAACAGGAGCAATGACTCAAAAATATGAACTCAAAATCCCAAAAAATCAAGTCCGATTTCGTTGCTTGTTGAAAGAAAAGAAAATAATAAAGCATTGGGGAAAAAGTCTACACTCAGTTAACTGCAGTTAACCACTAATTGACTTAATCGAATTGAAATATAATATCAAAATAACCAAACCACTATTTAAAAAAGAGAGTCATATCATTGAACTAACGGAAAAACCCATAACAAAGAACGGAAGAAAAGCACTGAATATTGAATAAACAATATTACCCCAACAAATATCACCACCATCAAAGAAGAAATCATAAAAGAAACTCAATCACACAAACAGGCACTCATTAGTTGTAATAGAGAGAAATAAACAGACATATGCAAACAGGCACCCAAGATCCCACTGGACAAAACATTTGGCTTGGCAACTCAACGAACAGTTAGTGTGCAGGGCTTTCGAGTGGGGGTTACGACAGTGGAGAATGTTTTTTGTGTGTGAGAAAGAGAGAGGGGGGGAGATACAAATTAACATTGAGGGAGAGGAGATGCGGGAGATACCTGAAATAGGTGCTAGAACTGGCGGTGGCTGAGCCGCCACTGTTGCCTGTTGTTGGCAGCGGTTGTTGACGACGATGAATGAGAGAGAGGAAAACAGTGGCTATTGAAGGTGTGGCCATTGGAGTAACTCAGACTGGGCGTGAGAGAAAGATTTCCTCGAGAGGGAATATCGTTGGTTTGGAGAGGGGATGTTGGGTAAAGATTTCCTCGAGAGGAGATTTGTGCTTGATTGAGGGCGCTCGGATTCAAAAATTAAAATTTCTAAACAAAATACGACATGAAATAGGCGATTAAACAAAATTATGGCAAGAAGACATATTAGGGAAAGAATTAGGGGAATTTAATTTAGGGATGTTAATTTTGGAAACTAAAAATTTTTAGCGAAAAAAATATTTTAAAAGCTAATATGGTACGTTGGATCGAAATGATCTGAGACGTCAATAGCTCAAGACAGTTTAGGATAACGTCGACCATTGGATGATGTCTTTTTTAGTCACGAAATGATCTGGACCACTCTTTGTCTCTAAAATTCAAAATCGTTTTACTTTATTATATAGATTTTTTATAAATAATTGATTTTTAGAATTTATTAGTTAAATTGATTATGGATAATTTATTAGTTAAATTATAAATCAAATACTAAAATAGAAGAAAGATAAATAGAAGTATATATTTCAATAATTTTTAAATCAATGAAAATGGGTTATTTATTTAATTATTTTTAATTTTTACTTTACAGAATGGTTCTTAAACAACACGATATCGGTTGGAAACACGCAACACTTGTTGGTGGTTATCGAAAAATTTCAAAGTGCATCATTGTGTAAAAATAGTTCATGGTGGTATTTCTCGAATAAAACAACATATTGCACATGGATCTAGCCAAGTGAAAAGATGTCCACGTACACCAAAAGAAGTGTAACTTTTGAAATAACATTTCAATGATTGTATTTAGGAAAGGGCTATTGTAAAAAAGAAAAAAGAACGAATTATACAATCATTGCAAAATGAAGATTTGTACAACCTGGATGATGATGATAATTGTGAGAATCAGAAGGGGCCACAAATAATTTTGAAAGAAGATAGTTAAAGTAGACAATGAAGGAAAACCGACAAATGGCTTGGATGGAGGAAAGGGGACATCGACACTCTGTATCAAATGCAAGCAGTCGCCCCTCTAGGGGTTATTTTTTTGGTACTAGACCATCACAACCATCTAACTCGAGAATCAAGCGCAGACCACTATGTAACTATAATGTAAAAGAAGGTGTCAACGTACCTATAATTCGCATTGATTCGTACATGTTCCCGTCCAAACAAAAGTCAACAAAAGGCATGTTCTCATGTGAGAACCTGAAGAAAAAAAATGTGAAAAAAATCACTTTGAAGTTCTTCCTCTTCAATACAATACCATTTAATGCAGCTAATAGTGAGCCTTATTACCAGTTAATGATTGACACTATTAAGGACGCAGGCCAAGGAATAAAAGGCCCACATGATATCAAATTGGAAGCTTTTATTTAGAGGAGAAGATTCAAGAGCTTGAAACATCCTCAATGAAGATAAAATGACCTTAATATGGTTGCACAATCATGTCTGATGGATGGAATCTAGAACAAATTAGCTCATTATCAATTTCATAATTTATTGCAATCGTAATATGATTTACCATATTTCGGTTGACACCACCAACATATCAAAATTGATGACTATATTTTCTCCCTTATGGATAAAGTTGTTGATGAAATTGGGAAAGAAAATATAGTACATATAGTAATCGACAATGAGGTAAGCTTTATAGTAGCAAGTAAGATGTTGATGGATAAAATGAAGCATCTATTTTAGTCTCCTGTAGCCTATTGTATAGATTTGTTGTTAGAAAATATTGGTCATATGAAAACAATCAAGGAGGCCATAGATGATGCAAAGATGATCATATCATTTATCTACAACAGTCTCAAATTGGTGAACTTAATGAAACAATATACAAGAGACAGAGATTTATTGAGGCCAAATATAACACAATTTGTCATTAGAAGTTTTATCCGATATGAATCAGACTTGAAAAGAATGTGTGCCACCGATGAATGGCGTGAGTTCAAAAAAGACAAGAAAAGGAGAAAAACAAGAGATATGGTCTCAAACCTTATTTTGACTAACCAATTTTGGAAGAAGGCTAAAGAAGTTCAATCCACCATTGAGTTGTTAGGGTATTAAAGATAAGGGATCAAGATAAAAAAAATTGACTTTATCAACTGTCTATGAGGTAATGGATAGGGCTAAACTAGTCATACAACATTCAGTAAAAAATTAGAGGAAATATTGGATCGTGATTGACAAGACCCAACTACACAAATACTTGTATGTAACAAGTGAAAGTACTTAAAAATATAAAATTTTCGTTGCTTAATTTCTTGTAATACATTATAGTATTCAACTCACTTACATTAAATTGTCAAAACTTTGCAGTTTATTTCTTAAATATAGTTTTTCGGTATTCTAATTAGTTTTTCGACCATCGTCAGGTAAGATCTGGTCTGAAAGATGTTATTAAAATATTGGAACCAGACTTGAATAAACAAGTAAGGGCAATGAACAAGGTATGATAATTTGTATTATAATGTGTATATATGTTGGGCATATACGTAATATATTATACATTAAATT